CAAGTTCTTCAAATACCTATAGAATGATAGGTTTCTTTTTTAGTGAGTGTAAAACACGTAAATACACCAGTTTAATTTTCTTCCCTTAATATTTTCACCTGTCCAGTAATTATCAAATCGAATCATTATCATTTAAATATTGCTTTTAATTTAGGAACCTTTTTTAATCATACCCAATCACCGAGAAAGTTTTATTTCCAGAAAAGATTCAGAATCAACGTCATAGGTTTAGATAATTTGACTTGGGTAATCAATGTTGAAGTCAATAAATTAATAGATGAAATACTGATAAGTATTCATTAAATTTGTGAGACTAATATAACAAGCTTATTAGAAAAACAATGTTATATATTTTCAAGCCACAACATGGGTGTTGTCATGAATTCTAGTAATAAGTAATACATTTACTAAAGCCATTCTCAATGTATTAAGCTTCTTTTGTACGTGTTATATTCGTTTACACTACGTTCCACTTAAGATGTAATTAGAAAATTGGTGTATTAATATATTTTGCATATGTGTGAACATTTGTTTACTTTTTCATTTATGTTTCTTTGTTTGTTTTTATTTTAAAATATATTAAAGAGGTTTCAGTACGGTTATTAAAAACCTCAGTATAAAGTTTTTTGTTTTGTTTTTTTGCTTTTCAGTGCATAAGGTAGTTAGTTGCTTTATATTAACATTAAATAGTAAACTGTAACAGTATGATAATCGTAAACTTCGTTAAAGCAAACCCATGGGGTTTCAAGGGGGGGGGGGCAAAGTAGAAATTGTGAATTGAATAAAATAATTCATATACATATGCTGAAAGAATAAAAGAAAGAAAAATGTTTTTCATTTCTCAGGGGGGACAAGTCCCCCCACCCGGCGCCCATCAACATGCCTAGAATGTTCGTTTGTTTGTTTTTGAATTTCACGCAAAGTTACACGAGAGCTATCTGCGCTAGCCGTCCCTAATTTAGCAGTGTAAGACTAAACGGAAGGCAACTACTCATCGCCACCTACCGCCAACTCTTGGGCTACTCTTTTACCAACGAATAGTGGGATTGACCGTCACATTATAACGTCCTCACGGCTGGAAAACCGAGCATGTTTGGTGGGATGGGGATTCCTACCCGTGACCCTCAGAGTGCGAGCCCAGCGCCCCCTAACCACCTGGCCATACCTATTATGAAATCTGGCAGTAAATGACATCACTGCATATCTCAAATGATGTTCAGAAGAAGGTATCTCTCTTAATATAGACTTTTATTATCTTAGTGTAACCTCGAACATTTAGTAAAGTGTGATTCAGCGGTTTTTACATTATTATAAGCTTGATTTTTAATAGTTATGGTGATAAAAAGAAGTGGTAAAATGAATATCAAAATGACAATAGACTACTTTGCAATAATGAAAATATGAAACCAATACGAAGTATACAATTTGTCGATATATATGATGTCTAAAGCGTTATCTTTACATATGACATTAGCTAAAGGAAGTCCAAGGATGCGCAGCTTATTGAACCTTTTATTCGTCATCACTGTGATTAATCAGAATTATGGATCAACGAGTAGCCAGAATAAGGAACTCTGTGAAGTTACGTCGTCCACAGGCCTCCTGGATTCTATCACAGTCTTGATTTCTCATGTCAAAGAACAATTGCAGGACAAAGGTTAGATTCATAAAAAATAATCTCTGTGGTGAAACTTTCTAAAACTACCGCATGAATATTAACACGTGCTCTTTTTGCTCTTACAAATCTCCAATGACCAGTAAGTTTATATGATTGTATTCGAATAACGTAAATACATATATATATATATATATATATATATATATCAGAGATTATATAACGATTTAAGAAGATAAATATATATATGTTAGTTCTCATTAATGTTGTTTAAGTCCTGTTAAAGTTCTTTTTATTAAGAACGAAAATAATTAGCGATTTTTACGTGTCCTGCTAACTTACTTATCTTGATACATTGTTAACTACAGATAACGTAACATTATTACAGTATCTGACATAGAGGCCAGTGGAGTAGCTCAACCAACCCTCTCTCTTGATCCAACGGACTGTGCTGATATCTTACTGAGTGGACATCGTTCAAGTGGAGTGTATCGTATTTGGCCAAAGTCTTGGATGACTATAGGGACTTTGAATGTTTACTGTGATATGGAAACTGACGGAGGGGGGTGGACAGTAAGTAGCACCCAGTTAACGATCAACGATTGCCTGAAATTTGTTTTTATAACACTTATTATATGAATTAATGTTCTGTATTCTAGTAAAACAAGTCAAATAGTGAGTCTTGTTGACAACGAAGAACCTTAATGGTTAAAACGTAAAATTGGATGATGAAATGCAAGAACTTGTATGTTAACCTAATGTAGGATCTCGGACTGTAACATTCACAAAGTTAGGGGAGAATGGTTATGAGGTGAAAGCAGTAATTTGCTAACCAAACTGAACACAATTTAAAAGTATTCTTATTGCAAGTAGTAATTAATATGCTATTTGTTTCTTGCGTTATCTTAAAAAATATGTATGCTTAACTTTCAGGTTTCAACACATTAATTTTAGTGTTCATGTTGAATTATTTTGAGAGTCTGCCTTTCATTATTCACATTCAACTTATTTCGCCACTCAATACAGATAACATTTGTCTGGGCAAATTGAAATGAACATTGTGTTTAAAATCAGGTAATCCAGAGACGAGGGGATTATGGAAACCCCGCTGACTACTTTTACAAACCATGGAAAGATTACAAACTAGGATTTGGAAACATTGAAAAAGATTTTTGGTTAGGTAAGTTTATTGCGATATTTTAATACCCCATTCCTGCGTGAAAAGGCCAGATAAAAGTATGAACAACAACTACATAATTTTGAGCAAGAACCAAATCAAACGATATTACACAGGTTGAGATGGCCTTCGCCTTATTTTCTTCCTCCCATACATTAATGTTTTACAAGAAAAAATCTTGAAACAATGATTTCATATACTCCTCTGCAATGTTTATTATTTAGACTTGTTACAACCCTGGCAATGTTACTAAAATATTAGATTTTTTTCAACTTGTATATATGTGCTTGTGGTATGCTGGTTTAGGAGAGTAATATTAAACAGGTAAACTACTCCAACGTAACAAGAAATCTGGCTGGATGGATTGTTAATGTGATAACAAGCGCAGTAGAGAAGTAACAAACCAGTATCACAAACACCACTAAAAACTGTTTACGTCTTGTTTCACGAACGGTTGTGTTACATGTCTCTCATACTGAAAAGACGAAATTAAAACAAGATAAAATAATGTGATGATTGTGGGAATTAACTTACAAGACGAAAAAGAATACCTTTGAACCATTAATCTCCTGTGTTCCTTCCTAGACAATTATAACTTGAAAGATTGAAAAATGTTATAAACAAAAAAAAAGTTTAGACGAGTCATTGCATATTATGTATTCTAATAATACAGCTTCACTTCAATTGTTCAGGAAACTAAGACAAGTTAACATTTTTCTACTTTTCCAAGTTTATTTTTTTCGATTTCGAAGCAAATGAAAAATAACTGTGGTAATATTACGATCTTCTTTACCACATTAACCTGTCTGCTGCGTATCTTGTCATGAGAGCATTAACACAGAAAACTAAGTGAAAATAAATGCAAACATTCAATCTGAAACTTTCATCACAGAATACTAGTGATGAAGTGAAAACGCCATATTTGTGCGTACTAAGCTGTTTTCTGCATATTTTACATATTATGTAGTTATGAACTACAAAAATTTCTAATTATGCTAAACATAGAGAAAAATGCGTCTATTTTCTTTGTCCAGGAAATGACCGAATTTTTGCTCTCACGAATCAAAGAAACTACTTGATCAGGTTTGACCTAAAAGACAAAGAAAACAGCACACGATACGCCGTTTATCAAGATTTCTGGATAGAAAATGAAAACTATTTTTACCGCCTGCACATTAGTAACTACAGCGGAAATGCAGGTAAGATTATTTAAATACATATGAAAAACCAAATAATGTTTTTGTAGATTATAATAGAGCTTACGCTCAACAAAAACGTTTCATGAGTTTTCTGAATTTTTTTAGAGATTCAGTTCCGCTCTGTTTAAGTGTTAAACATTTTATCTTAACATATTTGTTAAGTTACATTTGTCTTATAAACTATATCAATAATTTATCGAAATCTTTAGTTTAACAAAAATTGGTAACGTTACAAACAAATTTAAGGGCTGAATATGAATATTGTTATATGAAAGATAAAATAATGTAACTTTTCCATAAACGATGGTTTAGTGCCCGTCATTTACCATGAAGTACACATTTTCATCATACGTATTCTCCACATCCATTACCATGACACGCATACTTTGCCTTGAAAGTATTGGGTTGACACAACAAATATGTTAACAGCATTGGATTGATACAACAACTGTTGACAGCACTGGATTGATACAACAACTATGTTAACAGCATCGGATTGATACAACAACTATGTTAACAGCATCGGATTGATACAACAACTGTTGACAGCACTGGATTGATACAACAACTATGTTAACAGCATTGGATTGATACAACAACTGTTGACAGCACTGGATTGATACAACAACTATGTTGACAGCATTGGATTGATACAACAACTGTTGACAGCATTGAGTTAAAACGACAGCTATGTAGACAATGTTGGATTGATACATCATCTATGGCGACTGCTTCCAGTTAGCATGATTTGTCTTTTTTTTTATTCCTCAAAATAGTTGTGAGAAATTGCATTCCAAAAATTTTTGCTGAATCACTACATTCTAGGCTGACCGAAAATTAAATTTAATATATCACATTTGTAAGTTGGCTTAGCAAGTTGGCTTAATTTCTCTTCATGGGGTTTCTTTTTTCTTACCCCCTTTTTTTTGTCAAAAGCGTCAAATTCTAGTTTAGCATGAAATCGGCAAACAAAATATTTTCAATTGTTTGTTTGTGTGTATTTAAGCACAAAGCTACACAATGGGCTATCTGTGCTCTGCCCACCACGGGTATCGAAACCCGGATTCTAGCGTTACAAGTCCGCAGATATACCACTGTGCCACTGGGGGGGGGGCTCTTTTCCATTTCTTTTAAGTCGGTATTCTATTCAATTCACTAAATAATCCCCCCTTAACTTTAAACAAACAGACACTAAATAATTTCGTTATATGCTTGAAATTCTATAAGTTCTCAACACTTTTGTTTTATTTTATACACAGGAAACAGTTTTGGACGTCACAATGGACATAATTTCTCCACAAAAGATGAAGACCATGATGCCCATGAGACCCACTGTGCCCAGACGTACAAAGGAGGTTGGTGGTATGATCGCTGTCACGAATCCAACTTGAACGGCCTCTACTTAAATGGGGAACACAACAGTTATGCCGACGGTATAGCATGGCGTGCTTGGAAGGGTTATCACTATTCTCTCTCACAAGTTGACATAAAAATACGGCCAGTTGACTTTAATATTCCTCAAAGCTAACGCTTCATTATTATACAAAAATTGTTTTTAAGAACACTTTGACAATTTCTGGGCAGTAAAAATGAGATTTTGAGACAAAACTACTCTACAAGGTAATAGCCTACTATTAGTTTCATAATATTGTGTATTAGATATTTACTGGATAATTTTTGTTTACAAGAATTTTCTCTACATTTTGATTAAAGCAAAATAAAAAAAGTTAACGTTTTGCATTTTGTTGGATATCACAAAAATCTGCTATTGTTAGTTGCCAGTTTTATCTTATAAAAGTGAATGATTGGTTTAAAGCAGTGTTTTCCAAACTGTGAGTCATGGCAAATTACTAGGATTGTTGTGAAGGTTTCAGCAAACGAAGAATGATTTTAGAACATGAAAGAAAAAAGAAACTCTGCAAAAAAGTATTGCATGTGGTAGCAGAGTTGTTGCGAAAATCAAGGTAAGTGGATTAGACCGTTAGCGTATCGTCAGTGAAAAAAAAGTTTGGGAACCACTGCTTTAAAGCAAGTTCATAGATGATATTTATCGTGGATGCTTATATTGGAAACAACTGAAAAGATACATTGTGGTAATAAATGCTAATAAGTGAAATTTATTCTTTATTTTTTCATAAAATATCCAAAATAACTCTTTCAATATAAGAACTAATTTTTAACAGTAAATGCTGCTCAGAAGAAAATTCAGACTAAATTAATAAAATAGATGCTTTTGCATGGTGCAGTTGCTTCGTTGATTATGAGCTAACTTTAGTCTTCTGAAACTTGGACTCTGGTCAGACTTTTACCAGTATGTGCTTTCAATTGACACATGAAAATCACATGTTACGCGTAATTACTATAGAGTAAAATTATATACTTAATTAAAACAGTAAAGGAATTGTATAGTACATAAACACACGTCGAGTCTGAAGATTTTGTTTCACGCATACCTATTTATATGTTTATGTTAACAACAATAATTCCAAAAGTCACGAAATCGGATTCACCTCACTTGATCCTTGGACAGTACTTGATTTTATTATAACAACTGAGAAATAAATAGTTTGTTTTATAACTACATGACAGTTGTTTCAAATGTCACTTCCGCTGTTCAGACGACTGCGTTTAGGAAACCTATAGACACAATATCGTGAAAGTGAAAGTCGGGATGTGGACCAGTTTGACTATACGGAAGGCAATATGTAAGTTGTGTGGTATACTGACATACCATGTGTTTTCTAACCCCGTATATGCAGTTTTCACATAGCACAAGAAGGTCAAGTTCCTCTTACTCTGTATTATTCACCCAAGGCAGCGTTTTCCCAAACTTTTGTCATATACGTCCCCTTTAATAAATATTAAATAAATGAAAAAAAAGAGTTAAATGAAGAGATATAATACACCGATATATAATAAAATGCTATATATGTTGTAGTAATTATTTATTATTTTCATTTATAAAAAATATATTAAAATGCTTATTTTTGCATTATTGCATTACTAACCGTCCTTACCCGGGTATTACCTGAACAGAGGGCCGATGTTTAGCTATTTTTAAACAAAAAGGATCAAAACTTCGCTTTTCGTTTAACAATACATGTCAAATGCATAAATGTACTAATACTGAAAAGAAAGACATACAGTTTTCAAACGTTTCAGGAATATGAAATTAGTACGAACAAACATTTAAATATAATCATTTCCGTCAATAATATGAATTCTAAATTTTATGCGTGTTTTTCTTTAAACCTCTGGTAACAAAATTGTTATTGTTTTACATCATTGGCGGAAATGATAATGTGAATTCTGACACTTATGCGTGGTTTCTTTTAAAAAAATATAAAACAATAATAGTTCTGTAACAACAGGTTTTTAAAAAACGTTGTACAGAATAAAACCTAAACTCTTGTTCAGCCCTCTATTTAATTAGTATAATCAACCACTCTCTCAGCTAGCCAAACTACTCATTTTATAATTTAAAATCAAAGAAAATATTTAGAAACTTACACAAACACAGTATCTCTGTGGTTTCGATGTAAAATTAAACCTTTACAATGTATTATTTGAAGTATGAACATTCCTTTATATTTTATCTACATAATGCCCCCCTAGTGGCACAATGGTATGTGTGCGGACGTACAACACTAGAAACCGGGTTTCGATACCCGTGGTGGGCAGAGCACAGATAGCCCTTTGTGTAGCTTTGTGCTTAACTACAAACAAATACCACTACATAATATCTGTTATGTACTGCGAATTTGAAATAGTCCAAAGCAGATATTTTAGTTACTTTATGCTACTTGCCAACAAGATTGACACGCACTATTTTCGTTTTTCACACAAATACCTTTCAATATATATATATATATATATATATACAACAGTACAATTTACAACAACATTTATTACGAATAATTACCACAAAGTTTTATAAACAATAATTTCACTAACTTACAAACAACATAGAATATTCTTTCTAGTTCAGAGTCTCCTTGATATCCAGCAAGTTAACTTGAAGTCGATGTACGTACAATTGCTTCCCTTATACGTAATTGTAAGAAACGCAAAACTGCAACAACAAAAAAAGTTAACCGCAAATTTGCACGTATCTCTGCATGGAACCAACAAAACTTTATGCCAAATTTGGTAAACTAGTGGTAAAAAAAACGCCCATAAAAACCACAAAATGCAAAACTTAAAATGTGTATCTATCTCCCCATGGGCCGAATGAACTTCCATACTATATTTGTTGAAGATCGTACCACAGTACAGGTAGTGGTAAAAACCGCAAAACGCATAATGCAAAACTTAACATTTGTATGTACCCCCGCTTGGACCTAATGAGCCTCCATACCAATTTGGGTGAAGATCCATCCACACCCTGCGAAGTAGTTACATGGGCATACAACAGACAGTACTATCATATTTACATAGATTTATCATAATTCTATGTATTTAAGAACGTTAATACCAGATACCAGTTATTGTTACGACTGTTGCCTAGATACCTATTTTAAAACGGAGTTCCACAGTTAACGATTTTTTATCGCTCAGTGCATTGCTGCCCGATGAAGGCCTCGGTAACAGGGCCGAAAACACGCAAATAAAAGTATTTTAACGTAGATAAGAGTCCATGTATAATTCTACATATTAATTTACCTACGTTATGAGTCTTAAACAACATTTATTTGGGGCTAGTTAAGCCTGATGGAAAATATCGTTTACCTTTTGTGATACTCTTCCTAAGTAGGCGTTTCCTCTCCTCTCACTTTCTGGTGAAACTCATAGCTGCACTGCTCGTTCAGAAATGTTTTTTGTAAAATGATTGAAGAAAGTTTTGCATCATTCGTGTCTCTTTTCAGTTTTTAAATATCTTTTAAATAAAAGTCGTTATTACCCGTGCAGCGAAAAAACAAGTTTGACCTTATTTCAAAATTTGTTTTTCGATGTACGGGTAATAACGACTTTTACCTAAATATATTTTTCATCAATTTGAAAATCAGAAATACAAACTAACAAACATTTAAATATAAACATTTCCCCCAATAACATAAATTCTAACACCTTTATACGTTTTTTTAACCTGTTGTTACAAACTGTTATTATTATTAAACACTCGCTCTTTAACAGATGGCAGCATATACTTCCCTCTTTTTATGGCTTAAAGGCTATAGGGCAAAATTATAGGCAAAAAAAAATTGGCCAAATCTTTTTTGAGAAAAAAATAATACCCAGATGCACACCCTTAGAATTCCCTTAGTATGCGTGCAAAGTTTCAGATCTGCAGGTTATTTCCTCTTGGAGCTATGGTGCTGACTGGCTGACATACACACATGCTGTTTTATTAGCATAGATCGACTCTACCCAAACTGCTTGCACACCTCAAAAGATCATTTTCGCCCCATGGGTGACAAGCCCCACACTTCGGGAAATACCGACCTAAAGTATCACTTTGTTTACACGAAATGATTTTTATAAGGTTTTACACACTATGAGAGACAGGAGACAGCAACTTTTTCCTATGACAGGTCAGGTGATGTCGAGAGGTTACAACTTCCTTTGTGTTTCAATGGAAATGACCAGTAGTCACATGGGTAGTGTAAGACACCTTGGGAAAGCATGTCATTGTTCTCTCACATATATAATACCATGTTTTTCTCAGGTTGGAATAGAATTTTCTACAGAGCTTTAAACGCATTTAAACTTTTGAGATTCTCACGACAAAAAAGCTCTCCAGTAAATGCTTGTTTCATTGTGTCAAGTCTTTTCACTCCAAAAACTCGATCAGATTTAGAGAATTTGGATTTGCTTCGTAATATGTTTTATATTAGAACCTCCGGTTATTCTGCACATCCTATTATTATTTCACTCTTGGAGGAAATCAATTACCTGTAAATACCACAATTGTAGTGTGTTGTTCAAAACGTTGTCTTCGTCATGGTCAAATTGGTCAACACACCGAGATTCACAACATTTTATCCTTTGGTTTCCTGAACGCGGTCATTTGAACAGCGGAAGTGAATTTTAAAAAATGCTTGACAAAAAAAAAACAGTAAAAGTTCCGTTTTACCTCAAACAGTGGGTAATAATCTCATAAATACAGCACACGAATAAAGTGAAGCAATAATGTGAGAAATGTCACGTTTTTTTATTTTACTGTTTTTATGAGATATGATCTACTATTTCCCATTGCTCAAGTGTTTTTCGATGCATTTCACGTTCTGTGTGTGTCATATCAACCCAACAAACATACTTACATTGTAATCATTATTGGTTAACTAGTATTTTAAAGGGGAAACAACATATACAGGGAAGAAATGCGCACATCAAGATATTACTAATATCAAACACATTATCAAATAGATTACGTTGGTTTGGAAGGTGTGTTATCTCTAAGGGTGTGATAAAGATCCAAAAGCAGCAGTGACACTATCGTTCTTAGCTAAGGCACGTGAAATGAACTCCAGGAAGGAGAGAGACAGCACGGAAGGAACGTGAATATTTTACATTTTTATTAATCGATGTTGTTGTTTTTTTAACACCACAAATACGGCATGCTTTCTATAAGTAGGTAACAACTGCCAGAGCTAAATTGACGCAGATTCAATTGATTGATTCATGCCGCTAATGGAAAGATTAGTAAGTATTGTAAAATTTGCAAAAGATAAAGTAAGAATCCGCTTTCCGTGGTCGCTAGGTGCTTGTTCAATCCAGCATTCGCTACTGCATTTGGAGTGCTTACTTTTTTGGTTTTGCTTCTCTTGGCAGCGAATAATGACGCTATACAGGTTATTTTAAAGTATATTATAAAAGAGGTTTTTTCATTTTCACTATCAAACGTTCCAAAAGTGTGCACACTGAACTTTCTTTTTCGCATTTATACTACTAAGAAAAAATATATGAACCAATTGTTTGTTTGTTTATACCGCTGGAAGGTTAGGGTACTGAATTTTTGAAATTTTTGGCAACATTTCTCGTGGTTTTAAAATCAAAGCTAGTGAATTAAATTTCAAAATCTGTGTCTACAGATGCATAATGCTCAAGATAAAATATTTGAAATTTTGAATTCTCGAAAACTGTAACAAGCTTGCATATTTTATGCAAAATAAATAAACTATCTGAACATAAAATACTCCAATAGTTTTAATTCTTCTTTACGCTTTCTTTTATTAGCCGTGGCCTAGCGGCTCATAGAATGGATCCGAATTTGTTTTGTTTTTGTTTCAAGTACAAACCTTTAGCTCTTAGCTCCATCTCTTGACCGATTTGAGATCTAATTACAGTCACCGCTATTGTTTTGTTTGTTTTGAATTTCGCGCAAAGCTACACGAGGGCTATCTGCGCTAGCCGTCCCTAATTTAGCAGTGAAAGACTATAGGGAAGGCAGCTAGTCATCACCACACATCGCCAACTCTTGGGCTACTCTTTTACTAACGAATAGTGGGATTGGCCGTCACTTTATAACGCCCCCACGGCTGAAAGGGCGAGCATGTTTGGTGGGACGGGGATTCGAACCCGTGACCCTCAGATTGCGAATCGAGCGCCCCTAACCACCTGACCATGCCGTTTCAAAGTGATATAAGTTACGAAATTAAGTTTGCAATAAAGTTCCAACTTGCCATTCTGTAATATTTATGACTAACATTTTATAAACCATTAGGGTATTTCTGCTCCTTCTCCATATCTATAGTGACGCTTTTTACTGTAACTTATTTGGGAAAATTGACCTTATCTAAGAGGAAGTTCATGTACAAAACCATCTCATTTGACAAATGTTGTAAACATATACCCATATTAGGAACGTCCTCCTCTACAGTCTACATTATGTCACTATATGAACGTGCTTCAGTTTCGAAATCTTCTAAACAGCAAGAGTTTGAAGAGTAGTTGACTAACAGAAGAGAAGTTTTGATCGAGTGAGTAATTAATTTCTTTAAGTTATCTTTTTAGAATATCCTGTTGAGCTAGACAATACTCTAACATTTACTAGGATTTATTTATACATTTCTTTGTAATCTGTGAATCCTTCTATTTACCTAAATCAGTGGATCTCAAAAGTTTTGGTGCACAAACTACCTGATTTTTTCTTATTATCTTGGCGGACCACAATGGTATCTACACACTATATTGCCACTTCCATTTCGTGATCATGCAACAATTTCACACAACGTCTGAAGAGAGCCCGTGGATCAAAGATTGGGAACTGCAGATCTAAAATTCGGAAGATTCAATTCTAGTTTTTTTTTTTTTTTTTTTTTTTGCTAGTTCAGCTATTAACCAGATCCTTGAACTATGGTTTATCGCAGTCTGCCATTATTGACCCCGTAGAATTATATAATTATTTTTTGTTTCTGGATAAGAGGGAGCTTTCTGTTTATTAAATTATACATCCAGTACTGTACTAATGTTTGTTAAAATTGCTACTTTATCATTTGCCTGTGGATGAATGTATGGAAATTATAGTGCTTCAAGGACTTAAGAGATAAAAAATGTCAGTCAGTGATGATACTGATCATTACAATCAAAATCCCTCCCACGAGAGGTATCAGCCGATATCCCATCAAGCAATTGTTGACTGATGTTTTAGATGAAGACGGGCAATGTAATTATTATCTTTCTTCTCAGTTGAATGATAGCTAAAATACAAAGAGATGGGGGATACTTAACAGTGCGTATCAAGCAGAGTGAAAACATAACAGCAGTCAGAGAGTTTACCATTCATCTGGAATGTGAGCGGACCACTGACCAACACATTATCAAAACTGTATAGACAATGAGCATGAACAGTAAGATCTAGTAAAATCCAGGTGGACATCCACGTAATCCATTGTGATTGTCATAAGCCCACCCAAGAATACAACTGAGACCTTATCTATGATGGGCAATAGATACTTGATATTAAAATATCTTAAGCAGAATATCGAGTCGTTGAGGACTTTCTACTTACATAACACAGGTTATCCAAAAGAATCCCGAAAGACTTAAACACAAATATTTTAGGCTGTTATCTTAAGTAGTTGGAAATGGGTAGATTAGGACATGAGTAACTGAGTAACTAATCTGAGCTCACTTGGAACCATGCTCTCCAACAGAAAAAAAAAGAGGACACAAACCTTACCATTGATCATAATATATATCAGGTGGATATGTAAATAGGTTTCTACGGAATGGATAATGGAAGAAAAAATAGTGTTGTGTTACCTTTCAGACTGTTTTAATTAGACTGAGTGAGTAACAACATTAGGCACCAACGAAATTGAAGCTGAAGTCAACTTTCACAAGTACAATAGTCAGGTTTGCACCTATCCACATATGCAGGTCAAAGATAATGTTTTTCTTCAACTCCATTTCAGAAAAACATACCAGTCACTATCAATACGCATTAATTTACAGTAGGAGACTGAAATCACCAAAGATGGAAGGGAAATTATCCATTTAGCCCACGCAATGTAACATTAAATTTATGGTCAGAAAACAGATTCATAAGGTGGAAAATGTAGTCTAATGATGAACAATACGACCACAGAAGTGACGAATAAAAACATATTTATTTACACATTTCATCTTCAGCAAATAGTTCTTTGTTTTTGTGTATCTTTGCGCGAAAAATTCGAAATTAAAAACAAATAAGAAAGTAAGAATAATACAGGTTACTAGCGGGTGCTGAACTGTTGCGAAAATTGTTGTACAAGTATTGGCTGTTAAAAAATCTAAATGACTTATTATTTTTACTAGCTAGAATACCCGTCCCCTGGACGGAAGTTATGTAGATTCGTGATTAATGAAAGGTTATCTTAGGACACGAAAAGTTGCTTCCCTCATATGTAATTGTAAAAATTGCAAAAACGCCCACAAAACGTGAAAATACAAATTTGCACGTATCTCCGCATGGACCCAACAAATCTTCGTGCCAAATATAGTGAATATCTATCTATTAGGGGCGAAGTAGTGGTAAAAAATGCAAAACGCCCATAAAAACAATAAAACACAAAACTGAAATTTTGTACGTACCCTCTCATGGACCTAATGAACCTCTCTGTCAACTTTGGTGAAAATCCATCCACACCCTGCGAAGTAGTTACATAGATATACAACAGACAGTACTATTATATTTATATAGAAGTAGTTACATGGACAGACAACAGACAGGACTATTATATTTGTATTAGAAGTAGTTAAATGGACAGAAAACGGTCAGTACTCTTATATTTATATAGAAGTTGTTACTCGAACATTTAACAGACAGTATTATTATATTTATATAGAAGTAGTTACATAGACATACAACAGAGAGTACTATTATATTTATATAGATTTTAGAATAAAGTATATTTTTGTATTTAGTAATTTTAATATAAAATGTGTTTGCAAATATGTCCTTTATAAGCTTTCAATTTGATTACTCTAATACTAAACTAGTAACTCACCTAGAAACGTTAATAATCCATTCCATTCTGGAGATTTATTGAGATATAAAAGTCGTTTAACTGTAAGAAACACATTTAAATAGAATTTTATAAAATGAACTCATAACAAAGAGCTACGGTGATTGGTTATCCTATTTAATTATTTATGACAAAGCTACTAAGGTTATCTACCGTCGTATATAATTTCCAATTACTGATGAGATACGGAAGGCAGCCAGTCAGCGGCAACCAAACATTCACACTAAGGGATTGACTGTCTCTCTTATAACTCACCCATGGCTTAAAGTGCGGAGAATACTTTGTGATATATTACACGGTTCGCGAGCTTTGATATCTAGAGCTCTATCACACGGGTAGTCTGTAACCCTGTACCTTCTACGGTTATCGAACCAAAGTATTTGTCCAATACAACCACGAATTGTGAGCGCATCTATTGCCAAAAATGTGTGTTATTAATACTTTTAATACACAAACCTATTTAGCGAACTATTATTTTGATTTTTAGATGTGTAGCAATTGCCTAATTGAATCATTATTATCCAATTACTACTTGTCATTTGAAAGGTTTCCTTACACAGTTTAGCACAATCACTTAGAAACTTTTATTTCGAGAAGAGTTTGTTTGTTTGTTTGTTTGGAGTTTTGCGCAAAGCTACACGAGGGCTATCTAATTTAGCAGTGAATGATAAGAGGAAAGGCAGCTAGTCATCAACGCCCACTGCCAATTCTTGAGCTACTCTTTTACCAACAAATAGTGGAATTGACCGTCACATTATAATGCCCCCACGGCTGAAAGGGCGAGCATTTTTGGTGGGACGGAGATTCAAACCCACGACCCTCAGGTTGCGAGTCGAGTGCCCTAATCACCTGGCCATGCCAGGCCCTTCGAGAAGAGAAGCAACGTCAATGATTTGGAGAACAAGACATAA